TCTATATATATATTTCCAAACTAAATTTTAAAAGAATATATGGACGAGTCTCATTTAAGACGTATTTTAGTGTGAAAAAAATGTGTTCAAAAATACATTTTTGAATTTTCATAAAATGCTTTGTCACTACTTAGGACGAGAGAAACAATTTCCTATGAATTATCTCGACATAGACCCAAACCTCATATGTCTATTGATTTCCGTATTCCTTTTCTTTATATTTATTTATGCACTTATTTATATTTTTAATAAATGTAAATAAATTGTTGATATTTATAATTTAACACTACTTTATAAAACAATTTAATAAATTAAATTATTTGGCTAAATTAGGGGTGTGCAAAAAAATCGGTTATTGTTAACCAAATTTGTATCCAAATTGTTCCACTTTAAAAATCCAAACCAAATGCTAAAATATAAATTTGGTTATCCATTTTGTTATCCAAATATAAACCGGTTTTCATGTGGTTTATCCATTGGTTATCTAAATTTCATTATTTGTTAAATTAATTTTTTTTTGTCTCTTTTCATGTTTTATCATATACACGTTATAAACTAATTTTATATTTTAAATCAAAAGATTCAAAATTTTGTATTTCAAAATGAAGAAAAAAAATTGTTTACAAATTCTCTAACTATCTAAAATGGTGTACTAATACTTCACAAATTATATAGACTTTTATCGGTTAATTATATGAACTTTCAGTAATTAATTATATAGATCTTAGTGCATCGAGTTTGATTTGTTATGTGCAAGAAAATATACTAAAATTTGACTTGTTGGATTTGACTCTAGTTTTCATTTATAAATGTCGAAGTTCATTAAAGCTTTATGAAAAAATAATTATAAATATTATAGATTTCTCCACCAATAGACAGAGGTTTTGAAATATACAAATATATGTATTATAAATATTAATTATCATTTTAAGTTCATATAATTTGCTGAAAATTTTTATTTTAAAATTTTTTATTTTCAATTTTATTTTAAATTTTAAATTTTTTTTTAAAATTTATTTTATATTTATTTTCAAAAAAATATATATTAAAGTCTAAGTATTTAAATTTAAAAATTGATATAATTTTAAAAAAATAAATTTAAATTTAACTAAATAATTTAGGTTAAAATCAAAATCTATTTAGAACCAGTTTTAAACTGGTTTATAACAAGTGGTTTTATTTATAAATCACAACTATAAAAATGATTAGGTTCATTTCTTAATACAAAAGTATATAATTAAAATGTTTCAGGTGGTTTATCAATTATTTGATAGTTTGCAATAAAATTAATTTTTTTTTAAATTGATTTTAAAATTGGTTTTTTTTATAAAATTAGTTTTAAAACTGATTTCTTTAAAGAAAATAAAAAACTGATTTTGAAAGAAACCGGTTTAAAAACTGATTTTAAAAAAAAAATATTAAAAAACCGATTTAAAACTGAACCAATCTACTTGTAAATCGGTTTTTTAAAAAAATCGATTTTATATAAACAGTTTTAAAATTCAAACCAAACCATATATTGGTTTGGTTTATAATCCATGCACACCCCTAGGCTAAATTATAGTTTTTAATTGTTTTGTTTTGAATTTAACTACTTTTATGTTTTGCATTGTTGACTTGATATATTAGTTTAGCATTATAAAGTTGCCCAAGAAAAGAGAAAAAGAAAACGTTATAGAATCAGATAATACAAATTATTTTACAAATTATTTTCGTGTGCAATTAAAACTAATTCTTCAAGATGTCTGATATTCATTTAAGATATTACATCTACCATATATGTTTTTTCATGCACACCAATGAAATATTGAACTTCTAATCAAATGGTTACGGATTAAAGTATTATGTTTCTTGTTACACCAAGTTGGTAAGGATCCCCATAACTGTATGATCTAAAATAGAAATGATAAACAATGAACTACATACCCCTCTAGAACTAAATATGTCAATCTGCCCAGCACTTATACATCACATGTTTAAAAACTTGTGAGTATCCCAAACTCTGTTTTTTCTTTGCTTTGACATTCATTAGACACATTTCAAACTATTTTACGAGTTAAAGCCATGTTGAAGTAATGATAATCATCAATGCGATAAGGTTCATGTCCTTCTATATGCTTCATGGTGCATCACACTAACTCCAGCATGGGAATAGGCATTATTACAAAATTCTTTCATCTATACTTACAACCACATTCAGTAAAGGCATCATGAAAAAGCAAACATAACCAAGTTAAGCAATGCCATTCGGCGTCATCAAAACATAAAGATTCCTAACATCAAATTGTAGTAGGCTTTTTAATAAAGGAAACTAAAAGAATCTTAACATCGCAAACATTAAGATTCATCACAGGAGAATCACAAGATAAGCTTTATATCTGAAATAGTATTAATATGAAATTTAGGGATCCGGGGTGGTCTCTGATTCTGAGGATTAACAGTAAGCCCTTTGCCCTCAGCTGCTTATCCCTATATTCCTAGTCCAAGTCTGGGTCTCAGGGTGAATCAAGATGGAGGTTCGTAAGTATTACTGACATTTGACAATTCATGGTGGCATGCTAAAAATCTGCCATAAAAAATTGATACATGAATTCTAGAACATGCCCTAGCCACCCTGTTCTCCTATTCAAGATTTCAAGTTAATAACAGAGCTCAAATGATATCCCATTGTCGTAGCTCCCCAATCCCTGTGGCTAGAGTTTTTTACTCCTATTGGAGCAAAAAATCAGGCTTTTTGAATTTATTTTAACCCTAAACAGCTTTCCAAAAAGATACAGATACTAGTGCTTGATTGTAATATCTAAAGCCATGATCTGTTTCACAGAAGCAGAATTGGCCAGAATATATTCAGATAAACCTTAAACAGACTTAAGAGGTGGAGTACTTAAGTGACTTGGTTCTTCCCCCTTGATTGCTAGCTATTAAGGGAGAGGTCCCTAAGTGCTTGAGTACTAATCCAAATCTTAGAAGGACCCATTGAGGCTCCCTAACCAGAGATGACATATAAACATGACATGGCTGCTCAATCTTAGATCTTCCAAATGACATATTGAAATGTGAGAACTAAAGGCTGTCTCTTCTATATCTCACCCATCCTTATCCGGCGATAGCATGATCACAGATATAGTTTTGAAAAGAAATAGGAAAAACGTAGCTCATCAAACAATTCTTCTACTATGGGAATAGAAAACTTCTTGAAGATGGTTATCTCGTTAAGGGTCTGTCAGTTCACACATATTTTGTAGATAACATCCTTCTTTTTTACCAAGATGATTGGGCCTTAATAAGGACTGGTACTAGGATGAATAATAAGGACTGATACAAGAATGAATAATCCCCCAACACAACATTTCCTGTGTTTGAATTTCATCTGTGGAAATGAGGATATCATAAGGGTGTCATGTTTGCAGGCTCTTGCCTCAACAATAAAGGAATGTAATGATCACAATTTCTCCTGAATGGCAATGCCTGGCCTTGAACACCTCTCAAAAGTCTTCTAATAATTTCACATCTCCTCTTTGAAGCCTATGCTAAGAAAAACAGTGCCCCATCCCTAATGTGGTTTCTAGGTAATTCAGTTTTTGACCCACCCACAAGTGTAGTCCCCACAAGTTTAGTCCCCAAAATAATAACACTGAATTTCGGGTTAGAACACTTGTGTGAAGGCCCATGCTATGTTGCTAACCATATCTCCATTCTTCGCAATCATTGGTCAACAATTTGTGGGCTTTCCTGTTCTACCTGTTCTATGGCACATAAAACAAAAGGTAAAGGTGTCCTAGCAAGAAGATTTCATCCTCTCTCCTCCACCAATGATGATCGAATCCCTTTCCCCTTCAAGAAATTTGGTAAGTTGTGAAACTTGTTGATATTGTCCTCATTCTCCATTGTTTATTCTAGAAATGCAAAAAAATTGTAATAGATCATAAACTCTGTTCTTGGCAGTAACTAATTTAGACACATTGGCCTCCATGTGCAATGGAAAACAGGTCTCCAACATCTGACAAATCAGAGTGATTGTTATGTTTATTAGACAAACACAATTTTTCTGGAAATACAATTGTTATTTTAGGAAAGCAAACCAGTAATAGGATTTCTAAAAGAAATACAAGAAAGAAAGAAAAAATAAATAAATTGTAGAAGTCTCTTAATTCCAAAGTCGATTTCCTGTACATTGTGACCTAAATCCTAATGCCTTTTGCCATCCCTGCCCTCAATCTCTCACCTTCCACCTTTATAACCAACTTCTTTCTCATCTGTGACCCTTGCTTCCTTATACTGTAAACATTCTAAACTCAACATGCTTGTTTAACCAAGTAGCGCTCATCCCTACCATGTCACAACAACCCTAGTATATCAACAACAAGCATTAACTTTTTTGGTGGAACAGGGCTGTACCAGATCCTGCATGGGTCCAGTATTTTATTTCAGAGAATTATCTCCCTTCTTCCCCATGTAAAACTCAAGATATCCCAGATTTCCCACTATTTGACAGAAACACAATCATTACCCCCGTGTTAGATTATTCAATACAATTATATCAGTATAGTAGCCGCCATGGTGTTCGTATGTCTACCATTAATGCAGATCAATTATATGATTGGAAAGTTTACAATGATAGGCTATTAATGCGTACAACAAAATTACAACTCTAGAGCTAATGGTTGGAAAATTTAAATGCAAATTCATGAATTTACAAGTACAGAATACAAAGTTGAAAGATAATTAGAATAAAAGCAATCATGGCAAGAGAAAAAAAGTGGTCTCAAAATATCAGTATGAATACTTAGACAGAATATAATGTTCACAGCACTACACAAGAGTCTAAAATATTTATAGCACAACGATTTATGAATATCAACTACCCATAAAATGTAACATTAAAATTTGCAGTTGTCGTTGTGATGAAACCTGAACATTGCTGAGCAGCAACCAACATCTTCAACCATCTATCTACTCTGGCAAAACCTTTAATCTGTATCAATTTCTTTGCAGTGAAATTACAATTCAAATTCATCTTCAAGCTTCAACGCCTCAGCAGCAGCCTCTTCCTCTTCATCATCAATAACAAAATAGGGATTGTGAGCCTCTGGCTTGAACTTATAACCCGTAAACATATAGAAAGCAAGTGTAGCCAACTCAGCAGCAACCACACTAGTCCAAGAATATCGATACGAAGTAATAGTCTCCAACGCGTAAACCACAACCCTTGTGAAGTAAATGTAAAATATAACAACAACATAGTAATGCCTGAAGAGAGTCAGCTTCATCAAATTAACAGCAGCCTTGCCATCAGTCCTAGCAGCCTCACGGAGATTCTTAATCGACCACACAATAGGAAACAACACAGCACAGCAACAAACAACATCAACAAGGAGGAAAATCTGTTTCCAGGTAACCCAATCATGACCATAAGGTCCACTCTCATCAATAACAACCTGAGCAATATTAGCAACAATCTGAAGCGGAATCACAATCATGAGAACCTTCTTTTCCTTATCCTGAAGGAATGGTTTCAAGAAAGACCAACCAGTACCAATCAACACAATAAGAGTGAAAAGCGAAATCCCTTTGAGAAAACTAAACATATAGAACAGTATATCCCAACCATGTGCACTTCCAGTGCGCTTAATATACGATTTATCTTCAGCCTCACACAAAAGGTTAATAGCTTTCAGAATAATAACAGCAAGCATGAAATAATGAATTCGAAATGCGGTTAACCGTTTTTTGTAAAGAACACTAATCCAAACGGCGGCAAGGGTAAAGTACATCAAAGAGAAAATGAAATAAACCCTAGGAAGAATGGTTCTACCGGCGGAGAGATAATCACGGACGTTACTTTTTCCGTCGAGATTATACATCGCCGAATCAACATCCATGGTGACTTTAAGCTGTTGCGGATGACAATTAGCGAAAACAAGATTATACTGATCCGCATCCGTTTCATTGTAAAGCGTATTGAATGAATCTTTACCGTTAAGAGAATTGAAAGTGTAAACGGATTTAACAAGATCCGATTGAAGAGCGCAACGAATTTCACCATCTTCAAGCTGTTGAAGAACGTGAAGCCATGAATCGAGAGTGCAGAGGAAGAAACCGACCTTGGAGAGATCGAGATTGGAATTGGAGAGTGAGATTTTGGAGACGTTGAGTTCGAGACGGCCGTTATGAGTGAAACCGAATTGATCGAACGGAACGATGGGACGGTCGTCGTTTCGGATCTCGGAGAAACGGATCTCGGAGAAAGAGGAATGTAAGAGAGAAAGCAACAGAAAAATCGCAAAGAGAAACTGAAAAGAAGAACGCTCCATCGATTCGTGGGAGATTTTGGATCGATGAAACGTTTCAGTTTCGGATCAGATCTGGGAATTGGTAGCGGGTAGTGTCGGCGAATAAACGACGCAAGGGACTAGTTAAGTTGGAATTGTCACCTGAGCGGATTATAGACAAGACGCGGTTTGATGATTTATTTGCTAGTTGTGCTTTGTGGTCTATTTACAGACGAAAATTCTATGGAAAAGTTAATTTCAGCATTGTAAGAAGGTTATTTATTTAATCTTTTGTACACGCCCGTTCCGGCCCGCAACCATTACTTCGTCATTTCGCGGAAGTTATACATATTTATTTGAATGATAGTTAATAGTTAATTATATATTTCAAACTATAATGTAGATATTTTAGATTTCAAAATACTTTTAAAAAATTAAAATTTGAAAAATAATAATAATTTTGTATTAAAAATTAGTAAATTAAAAAAATAGTATAATTTCTACGTACGGTTAGGGCTGGAAATGAGTCGAGTCAAGTCAAACTCATCTCAGTTCGGTTCGACTCGTTAAGAATTGTTCGAGTTCGAGTTCGACACGAACTTTTTTTTAAGCTCAAACTCGACTCGTTATAAGTTCACGAACAGTTCGGTTCAACTCGTTAGGTTCATCTCATTAGGTTCAGATCACATGATTCACAGACTTAAAAACTATTTTTTTAAATATATATATTTTTTAGTATATTTGACATTTTAAATAAATATATATTTTTTAAATTAAATATTAAAATAAAATAAAAGTTATCATATTGAAATTTAACTTTATCTTCGAAATCTACTAATTCAAAACATACACAACTTTCAAAAGATACATTTGAGAGTCTAATTCAAAAACTACTAAATTGAAGATTAAATTTGTCTAAAATTTGGAGTAAATATTTAAACTTAATCTTAAAGACAATATAATTCTTCTCATATGTAATCGAGTTGACTCATGAACCTAACGAGTCGAACTATGTATAGTTCAAGTTCAGCTCATTTAGTTAACGAACTTAATTTTTCGCTCATACTCAACTCATTTGGTTCATGAACTTAGTTCAACGATTTAATTGTCGAGTCGAATTCCAAACTATTTTCGAGTTGGTTTGGTTCATTGTCAGCCCTACTTACGGTAAATGAAAAAGTAGTGGAAAAGGTTATATACAACCATTACACTGGTTACTTTTAATATAATTGATATAAAAAAAATATTATTTAGTATATTACTTTTACTATCTATCATATAAGAAAATAAATGGTGTGGAAAAGACAAAGGTACCCTGCTGTTCATACAACCCTCCACGTTTCTGTTTTAATAATATTACACGTGGTGGATTTTTTTCAAACACTGCTGTTGTGCATGAAGGCAGATTCCAATTGTGCTTTTTCACCTAGTCGTTGCACATTATTAAGGCATTGTCTAAATTACTTGAGGCATAAGTTTGAACTAAACTAATCAATCAGACAAAGGACCTAATCGATTAGATAAGCTAAAATTTTCCCTCTAGCTATTTTAACAGCTTCCAAGTCATCTAACACAATTTCAGGACATTTTTGAAGATGTTTTCTTTAATAAAACAGTTTTAAAAATGTTTTAGTGAATGTGTGTGTGTGCGCTTTTAACCACATGTTTTTACGATAAAGTCCTTTTGCCTTACAATCATTCACTAATTACAAAAATAGGAGATAACTAATATTGAGTATGAGATTACCATATAGCTTCAAGACTTTGTCGAATATTATTCTTTATGTTTACACATGTTTGAGTGGCTTGAGATGAGGCTTTAGTTGTATTATTTGTTTGTCATCATCGGATTGTCAAGTTTATCAAACCCTAAAAATAAGTTTGCATCTTTATCTGTTTAATTGTTCATGCTTGATTTATCATAATACTTTACTTGTCATCTTCAAAAGATGATGTCCTTGTTAAAAGTATATCACCTCAAAAGAAGGTTCCACGGCGAAGACGAATGCACTTAATTAGTATAATTCAAGTGCACAATCTCTCTTTATTTATCCCTTTTAATTTTATGTATATGTATATATGCTTAGGTTTTATCACTTTTCTACAATCTCATATGACTTGATTTTTATCAGCAATTTAATGTATAAGTGTAGGTTTGTGTTAGAACAAGTCATCTAAGCCTTATTTTTGGTAATTAATGTTGTATAAACTTTTAAATTCAAGTTGATCGTTCGATTAATAAGATTCAATTTAGATATTTTGTATAAATTAAATTTGATTCATTGATTGATTGTTCATCCTCTTTATCATTCATCTCCATTATATTTTCTTATATTTTGAGTAAACAGTGAAATCAATCCAACTGCATACAATTAGAAACCATAAAAAATTATTTTACACTTTTAGAAATTATTATTTAAAATTCTTTAAAATAATCTCAATCCAATACCTAAGAAAAAATAGAAGATATACCAAAAGTGTGGAATGAATTTACATCTATATCTAATGAGTGACATGTACTTCCTCAAATCACGAGATATTTGTATGACATGACATAATTACGGATTCTAATTCTACGATATTGAAAAATTATTTTACATTGTAAGCATGTTTATTAAACTCGTAAACTAATCATGATAACTTGTATTATTTTATTATGTGTACATGTTATTTACTAAGAAAATTGATATGTACTGATAGTGTAAAGATATTGTTATGTGTCAGACGAAGACCCATGACCGGCCACTATGCGCTGGCTTGAGGCCCAATAACACGATGTCCATTATCTACTCTACTCCGTCAGACCCAAGGTATAAATACTTTTGTAAAGAATTCTAAGATACACAATCTTTAATCTCCATTTTCACTATCTTTAATCTCCATTTTCACTATCCTTAGATCCACCGTATCAGAGACGACAACACCATTAATAGCATCGCATTAACACTGATACCTCTAATTCAAGAAGCAACATGGATCGCAACCTCTGATCCACGATTTCACGACAAGGTAGCGCATCAGAAGCTCTTTTTCGCCGTAATTTCTGCAATCACCACAATTTCTGGTTCCGCAATAGAACAGTGGTGTCGTGTGTGTGGGGATAGACTTCCAATTTCCATGATTCCATGTTCTACCCATAGATATGAACTTCGCATAAGTCTCCGACGAAGAAAATGAAGTTTCACGCAATTGAAATCTTAAATTTATGTCGTTGGATCCACCTAACTCCAGTATAACGTCGAGCAAACGATTACATAGATTCCAAGCCGCCTTGGAACAACGTCAATGGAAGCCTCGAACTCATGTTCCACCGTATTCAGTTTGACACACAGACACTCCAAACTGCAATAACACTTCCTCTGTGAAGGTTGGTTCCAAGCACAAGCATGCATTATTACCTCAGCATTCCATTGACATGTTATGTGTGTATCAATGCAACTCGCCTTCGAGCGAAACAGTCATACATGAATCCATAAAGACTTAAGGTCATTTAAACTTTAAGAAACTATTATTTATCGTTTTCTACAACAAATAATAAAATAAAGTGCAGGATTCTGAAAGCAATCGTCAGCGATCATCAAATCCAAGTTCTTCTTGGATCCCAACTTGACAATTACAACATCTGAGAAATAAAAAATATTATACCGAAAAGTATAAACATGCAAAGGTAAAAACTGAAATGCATATATGAAAATATTATTTACATGTTGAGGCACAAAAGTCTAGCCAAATGTTATAGGAGAAAACAAAAAGAAAAAAAAACAAAACAACAATCAATCATCGACACCCGACTCCTTCTCATACGGGTTAGCTAAAGTGTTAAGCTGGTTCCAAGCACAAGCATGCATTATTACCTCAGCATTCCTCTGTGAAGGTTGGTTCCAAGCACAAGCATGCATTATTACCTCAGAACCATACCCAAAGCATATACTTTCCGCTTAAGAGATTGTTGAGACTTCTACAGAGAAATAATCACATCTTCTTTGAGACTTATAAAAGAATTGGTTTGGTCCTCCTTCCTCTACTGAAGTGCTTTCTGATCTACTTCGAACGCCTAACATGCTTCCTTCACATCTATAGAAGCCTTTTTGGTGTGTTTCTTTTTGTCGGCAAAAGAAGCCTTTAGCTCATGTATTCGAGCATCCGAAACGGGCGGTCGGCCATACCGATCCACCTTTTCCTACAAATAACTAAGGGTATCGCCATTTGTCTGAAGCACGTCCAACTCATTCACAACGTTAGAATTTTTCATCTTAAGGACCTCACACCTCTCCCTCCACCTATCTCATTTCTTTAAAAGCTGTTTGAAACCCAGAATGTCACCTTGATCGACAACTACAATAGAAATAAGGCACCTGACCTTGAACGAAGTACAAGAGGCATCTGCAAAAAGGCTCCTCCTATCAGTTGCAGAGAAAACCCAAATGAAGTCCAGGTCCTCAGTGGCCACGGCAGCAGCAAACTCCTCTAGGGTGTTAGGTACCCAGGAAGGAAGAATAGCAAGAAGTCGAGAGAAAAGATTTAGAGCATCCTGCTTACCGTCTTCCACTAAACAAGATTGTTTAGGAAAACCTCCCCTAACAAGAGTGGATGAACTGTCACTTCGAACCCTCTTGGCATGGGGAAGAGAAGGTGAAACTCCCCAAGTAGATAAATCAGCTACATCAGCATCTGGCTAACCTAACTCAGGGTTCGGAACCAGGGCCATCTCTATAGCAGTCACCACACCAGGAATCAAAACCTTCGAGATAGAAATAGAAGCAATGACAGGTGATGCCGACGTCGAGATGGACATGTCAAAAGTTAAGCCCTGGTCATTCGCAAGCTCCAGGTCTTCCAGCAATTGACTCATGTAATTCATGTTATCTGCAAAAGCACAAATCGCTTAGTTAAAAAAAAGACATATGGATCCCCATTCTTAAAAAAGAATTTTTGTTTCTCGAAATGTTCAGAAGCCCTAATAATAACATGTGTATCTATACCCCGCTTCTTCTATTAAAAGGAAAGTACTTCACTAAGACCAAACCCTTATTCATATCCGA